GGGCTGGCTGGCATGTGGTGCTGGGGGATTGAACCGTGGTCCCTGTGCTTTGCTGAGCTTGCTCCAAGTAGGTGCTCTAGACCACTGAGCCATCTCACCAGCCCCCTCCTCCATATGTTTCTTCATTTGATTCTTTAGTGCAGATGTTATTAATTCAGGGATTTCTTTTTTCATTTCCAATCTGAGTTCCTCTATACCTTTCTGCAGCTGTTTCTTAATTTAGAAGACATTGATTCATTGCTTTCAGCTGTGTGATTCCCAATTTGTTCTGTGTTAGTGTCCTCTGCACTTGTTATGGGTGAACTTGGGTTCTGAAATTGCATTTTGCTCCTTCTCATCATTTTGTGTAGCACTGTCTTCTGACCTTTGTTGTAGATCTTTGTTGCAGTTATAACCTTAGCACGTAATGAAGTTCAGGTGCAGATCTACAAAGTCTGGATTTATCCAGCTGTGCCTGGCTTGGGTCTGGCTGCTGTGCTGAGCTCTTTCCTGCTGCTGCCCTTGGGGGTGAACCTGTTTTGCCCCTTTGGTAAAATGTTCTGTTCCTGGAATAGCTGGGTGGTTCTGTCCCCTACACTCTCTGCAGGGATTGCAGCTGCAGGGTTTCACCCCAAGCCTGTATGCCAGGCCTGAGCTGAATCTGGAGGGGAAAAGGTGGAGTAGGGGGTACAGGCAGCTCTGCCACATACTCACTGGGCCTGCCCTAGGACAGAATCTGGGGGTTCCTGGAACGGAGCAGAAATTCCTACTCTGTGGGTGGAGTGTGTGTGTGGGGGTACTATGGAGTGATGGTGGGTGTCCCAAGAGGGTGAAAGAGGGTATCACTCATGCTGCGCCTGGGCTGGTACCAGTAGGTCACGCCAGCACATGGTAGCCGGAAGCTCTCCCACACACTCACCGGGCCTGCACTAGGACTGGATCTGGGGGTTCCCAGAACATGGCAGAAATTCCTACTGGGCAGGCGGGGTAGGGGAGGTGCTATGGAGTAGTGGGGGTGAGTCCTAAGTGGGTGGAAGAGGGTGTCACCCACGCTGTGCCTGGGCTGGGACCAGTAGGTCCCGCCAGTGCAGGGTAGCCTGAAGCCCTCCACACACTCCCCGGGCCTGGGCTAAGACTGGGTCTGGGGGTGTCTGGAATGTGGCCAGGAATCAATTTTTAAAAGCTAAATTATAAGGTACTTAGAGCTCAAAATGCTGTTTGTTTCTTGTCAAGATAGTTTTATAAGTGCTAACTGTCCTCAGTAGTCTCATAAAAGCTTAGAATTGATATAAAATATGGATTACAGACTTATATCCTTGGGCCAGGTGGTTCTAGACTTCTTTATTTTTTTGAAAGTGTGCACACAAGAGAGAGGTCTTGCTATGTGGCCTGAGCTGGTCTTGGATCCCTGGGCTTGAGAAATCCTCCTGCCTCAACCTTGGCCTCCCAAGAAGCTGGGGTCATAGGTATGCACAACTACATCTGGTCCTCAGAATTTTTTCTTTATTTTATGGATATATATATATATATATATAATATATGTATTCCATATTTTTCCCAGTGGTGTCTAATGCAGTACCTTAATAAAAATATCTTTGTGGTGAAATATGTAACTATACACATCAAGTAAAATAAATGAAGATCAGTCTCATACCAATTCAACCTCAGTCAATTTTGAGGTTGACTAAATTGACTAAATGGTTCCATACCGTTATCCTTAACTGCAAATAAGATAAATTTTGAGGGCTCTCAGGATGTGGCAGGAGGCTATTGTGCTGAGATGACCTCTATGCACCCTGGGCCTCTCAGTCAGATCAGGGAAGTGCATGCTCATCCTCTGCTGCAGTCATGCAAGTGGCTCAGAGCCCCCTCCCTCCTCTCCAGAAAAGGGACCTTTAACCTTTCGAGAATCTGGCAGCAGCTATGGATCTTTTTCTCTTAAGGTTCACAAGTACACAAAGACAGAAAAAAAAAAAAGCTGGGCATGGTGGGGCACTTGTAATCCCAGCACCATGGAGGCTGAGGCAGGAGGATTGCTTGTAAGTTCAAGGGCAGCCTGGGTTACCTATCTAGTGAGACCCTCACTCAAAAAAATAAATCAAATAAATAAAAGAAAAAATATATATGTGGTGGATTCTAACTGGTGTTCAACTTATTACATCCAGCTGAATTGAACCAGTATGGTGCTGGATGTGGGAGGCCCACCTGAGGGTTGTTGCCAGCAGCATAAAGGCAAAACATGAGAAACTGCCAAAAATTCTGTTAGGAATGCTGTTTGGAGAAGCTGTTGGAGATGTTGGAAGCTGCTGATTCTCTTGGGCTATTCTGCTGGAGGACCTTGTCATGCTGGTTTTCCCAATGAACTTTGGAGGAGCTCTGGTCCTCATTTTGAGCATCGCTTCTTGGCTCCAGAGGGGAAGATGGTGCACAGCTCAGCCTCGTGGAGAAGCTTGTTGCATTGGCTTTATTGATGGGAACTTGGCTTTCTTCATTGCAGGAGGAGCTTGAGATCTCACTATGGCTGAGGATGGCTGTGGTACTTTTGGGGGAGCGCCGGTGCTCACCTTGAGCACTGCTTCCTGGCTCCAGTTCAGATCCCTCAGTGTGCTGGCACAGAGCCTTCATCCCACTGGCATAGACTTTCTAGTTTCTACCACTGACCTTTGGGCCTTTCCAGCACAGATCCAGGAAGAAGGCCTGCATAAGACTTTGTTGTAGGCTCTAGGCCTCCAGTTGGACTTGTGGGAGAAATTGTTATTACTCTAGGTTTTTATCTGGGCTAATGCAGGATATTAGGATCCATGCCTTCAGTTGGAACCTTTAGTATCTAGTGTGTGGATAGATTTCCTGCACTTGTTGTATATGGTATTCGGGTGATTCCTTATAAACTAATATTATAAAATGTGTCCTTTATTGTGATGTTCTCTGCAAAACCCCAAACCACAACAATAAAATTTCATGGGGCTACAGGTCCACATCTGAGAAGAAGCCTGCTCAGTAGGTAAGGAGAAGGAATGGAGTCTAGATGTCTCAGCTTTGGCACACAGCAGCATGCAGGGCCCTGGATTGCCTGGCATGGAGACCACTGGGTGAATGTGACATGGTTGGTCTTACCCAGAGCAAGCTCTGGAACACGTCTCAGCTGCTGTGAAGGAGCTGGAGGTCAGGGTAAGAGGGTCTCCCTGGGTGGTGTGGGAGGACAAGGAGTGGACATCTCAGGTGGAGGCCACTCTGGACAAGTAGTTCTAACAGAGCTGGGACTTCGGACAATCCACAAGCACAACATCACGGAAGCCTTTTGTATCATCTGTGTTTCAAAAGGCTGTGCCTCACGCCTACTGGACTTGAAGCCTGCCCTCTGAGGCAGTAAAGGCAGGCATCGACATTCACAGGCACCCCAAATCCCAGATCCTGAGCTGAGACAGAGGCAAAAGCTGGTGGGGTGCAGCCCCAGGCTACTCTCTAACTGCAAAGTCATCCTGTCAGTTTGCATTCATCCTTAATTTCTCTATCCCCCAATTCCCCCAGTGCAAGTTGACTTACAATGCATATTTGCACTATGCAAAATCAGTAGAACCAAATGCAGACCATCTCAAGGCACTAGCACTGCAAGTAACAGCCCTATGACCTCAGGAATGAGCTTCAGCAGGGCCGGTTTGCTTCTTACCTTTAGGCTGGGTGATTTTGGAAGCCTGGTACTTTTTCTTCTCTTTCACCGCCTGTGGCTCGACATAAGCTCTACTGGTGGCTGGGTCTGAGCACAGGGAGATGAAGTCTTCCGAGTAGTCGTAGTTAGAGCGCAGGCTCCTGCAGGAGCACTGGGATTGGCTGTAGTCCACGCTGCCGCTCGATGGCCTGCCGCTGGGGGGCCGGCTGCCTTTGCCCGGGCTGCTCTTGCCGGTCTCTAGGGTCACTGTGGCCACGGGCTCATTTGTGTGGGGTTTTGTTGTATCAGCCACAGACATAGCAAGCAACCTAATCAAAGAAAAGTGTTTTAGTCAAGAATAGTGGTACATGATCTCTAATGCCAGGGCTTGGGAGGCTGAGGCAGGAGGCGTATCTGGGCTACAAAGTGAGTTCAAGGCTAGTTTGGATTCCATAGCAAGACCCTGTCACAAACAAACCAACAAACCAAAAACTCCTTAAAATATTTTTAAAGTTTATGCTCATTTAAAATATCTTTATTAGTTGCTCTTTGCAATACCTCACGCTCACGCTCCGTGTAGGCAGCTAGGCGCCCACGGTGCACCCTCATTCCTAACTACATCCTTCTGCTCTCCTCTCCTTCCATCATCATCTCTCAGTCCCCTTCTCATTTGCAAAAGATTCGTAGCCCTGTTTTCCATTATGAAAAGTATTTTTCAGTTTCCAGTTACTGACCTTACAATTAACTGGTGCTGTATTATATTTTCTTTAACTATAGTGGACAATTAGGAAGGTGAAACTACACATTGTTTGTTTGTTTCTTTTTTCTTTTCTTTTTTTTCTTTTCGAGACATGGTCTCACTATGCAGTTCAGGCTGACCATGAGCTCACTTTGTAGCCCATGCTGGTCTTGAACTCACAACTATCCTTCTGCCTCAGCCTCCCAAGTGCTGTAATTATAGGCTTGAGCTACCACTCCCAGCTTGAAACTATACATTGTCTTGCAGCATTTTCTGAAGGAATTTCAGTTTGGTTTCCACATTATTTTTATATGAACTATAAGGCTTCTGAGTAATAATAATTTTGGTAATAATCACAAAAACAAATGCATGCCTGTGATTCCAGCACTCAGGAGGCTGAGGTAGGAGGGTTGATGTGAACCTGGGCCAGCCTGAGCTACGCAGGGAGGCCTGGTCTAAAAAAGTCATATGGAAAGGCTGGTTATTCCTTGGGAGAAATGACTGTACTGTAGGTGTGGACAGCTGGTGTGAAATGCAACACTTGTAAAATTGACCTACTATGTACATTCAGAGATGTGCACTTGCACTTCCTAAGGATGAGGTCACATGATTTTGATGTTAGACACAGAATACAACATGACTAATCTCTTAGTTTTAGAGAGCTATTATTCTATGTTATTTTTTAAAAGAGAGTATAAATTAGAATTAAAACATAAAAAATTACAAGTGATACAGATTTTCACTTAACAAAGTAATATGAATTTCACAGTATTTGTTATAATACATATATATATAATATATAGTGTTGCCTTCCAACCAGTTATTCATATTACCAGATATATACATGTAAAATAGGAAGAAAGAAAAAAGAAAGAAATGTATAAGAAATTAAGAAAAGTACAAACAATTGAAAAAAGGAGATGAGATGAATTAAAACATTAACTGTTTTCCATAAACCAGCAGAAATGCACAGTACAGTTGTCAAAAGCATCCTGCTTACATACATAGGTATATCTTTTTCCCCCACTCCCTCCCTTGTCCTTCTCTTCAACTGAGTAACTCTTTCCTTTTTAATAAGTTTATTCCTTTTTCCCAGTGTCTATTGTACCCATCAGATTCCAGTTTTCTCTTTTAGGTTCTCATTCTAAGGAGGACAATATGATGTTTGCACATGAGGGTCTGATTTATTTCACTTTAGTATGTTCTCTAGTTGTATCCTTTTACTGACAAAAGACTCAAATTTATCTTGATTTTAAGATCTTTAAAAAAGATTTATCCTGATTTATAGCTGAATAATACTGCATTGTGTAAAAATACCACATCTTCCTTATCCAGTCTTCAGCTGATAGGCATCTGTGTTGTTTCCAAGATTTAGTTATAACAAATTGTGCTGCTATAAACATGGGTACACATATATCACTGTGGTGTGAGGTTTTCAGTTCTTCTGGAAAAACATCCTGGAGGTGAATAGCTGGCTTAAATGGGATCTCCAATCCTAGCTTTTGAAGGAATCTCTACACTGATTTCCATAGTGGTTGTACCAGCTTACACTCCTACCAACAGTGGAGAAGGGTCTCGTTTTTCTCCACATCCTCTCCAGCATTTGTTATTGGCTGACTTCTTGATGTTAGCCATTCTTTCTGGGGTGAGATAGAATCTCAGTGTTGTTTTAATCTGCATTTCTCAAATGACTAATGATGTTGAACATTTTTTCATATATTTACTTGCCATTTGTATTCCTTCCTCTGAGAGGTGTATATTCATATCAGATGCCCATTTTTGGATTGGGTCTTTGAATTTGTGGGGCCTGATTTAAAAAAAAAAGTCTTTGTATGTTCTAGATAGAAGGCCTTTGTCTGAGGGACAGTCAGCTATAATTTTGTGTGGTTTGTTGGTTTTCTTTTTACTCTGTTGGAGATTTACTTTGAAATGCAGAAACTTTTCAAAGGGATGAGATCTTAGTTGTTGATTCTTTGAAGTATTTCCCGTGCAGTTTGGTTTTTGAACTCTCTACCTACCCTTATATCTTTAAGATTTTTTAACCTACATTTTTCTCCAAAAGATTTAGTGTTTCTGCTATATTTAAATCTTTGATTCATTTTGACTGTGGCTTTGTGCCTGCTCATAGGCATGAGTCTATTTTTAGCCTTTAGCATGTAGAAAGACAGTTTTTCCAGCACTATTTATTAAAGAGGTTATCTTTCTTTCAGTGAGCCTGGTTGGCCACTTTATCAAAGATAGGGTAACTAACTGTATTTGCTGTTGTGTCAGCATCTTCTAATCTGTTCCACAGATCCTCAGGTCTGTCTGTGCCAGTACCATGCTGATTTTATCACAGTAGCTTTGTAGTAGAATTTCATGGCAGGGATTGTGCTATATGCTGCCTTTCCTTTGTTTCCAAGAATTGCTTTTGATATTCTTGGTTGGAGAGCTAGTATTCTAAAACCAAAAGAAATAGTGGGTTCTTACTGATTATGAAACACAAGATGACTGAGACGTGACTCTGAGCTTTCTGTGTATGTTCGTAAGCAACTCATCCGGTAGCTGCACCTTCCATGAAGGAAATCTGCTAAGTAGAAAATGACATTTCTTTAAGAAAGAAATGACCAAACTTTCAGCTATACTGAAAACAAACTTTTATAAATATTCATCTTGGAAAAAAATCAAAACAAAGCTTTTGTCTAATATTATAGATTTAACTATCAAGGTGAAAAATTACCATACTTGGGGGCTGAGTCAAAGTAAAGTGGACTTCAAAGAAATATGTTTAGCAGCTAAGACAAACATAAACTTTGATGGTGTGATCCTAATTTCTAGTCAGGGACGTAGCATAACATACAATTGAAGGTCCTTGAAACCAAAGACTGCCTGAAAATTTAACTTAGTTAAGACCCACATGGTATCACACTTCTTTGGTTGAGGCTGAATTTGTTTCAAATTAAGTGTAAGTTAAAGTAACTTAAGCACAGTACTGTAGTTCTTTCTTTTTCTTTTCTTTCTTTTTTTTTCTGGTACCATAGATTAAACTCAGGACCTTGTGCTTCTCAAGCAGGTAGTTATGCTGCTGAGCTATCTCCCCAGCCCTGTAGTCATTTACAGATCAGAAATGTTTTAGCTCATTGAGTTGTTCCCCAAAGCACCTCTCTCTGGTTGCTTCATAGTGTGGTAAAATAATTCCCTAGTTTTTTTCTGTATAGGATCTTAAACTTAGTGAAAAACATGATGCATTTTACTTCTACCTTATTTTAAAATATTTCTTGATATTAATTTAGATGGTGTTAAAGTACTGGTTAAACTAAACTATCTGTGTGGCCAGTCAGCAAGGCTAAGTGGCCACATCTTTTCTGTTTCACACAGATTCTCTCACGGGTGACTGTCTAGGTCTGCAGTTGTAGACTTGGCTTCTCATTTGATCTGAGGATTGCTTGGGAGAGAAGGTGACAGCCAGCTGGTAAATATACCCCCTGAGTCCCAAAGTCTCATAGGACGGTTATATGGTGTCTTTGACAAATATGGTGAGCATTAAAAATTTTAAAAATTGATTACAGTAAAAGACACATTGCCATAAATACTCCATACCACCATCCCTCCAGTTATTTTCAATGTACTTTAATCATCCCACTGTCCTTGCCACATTCTGCAACAGCTCTGGGGGCCTCTTTCCTGAATGTCTTTAGCTGCAATGTCCTGGTTGCCCTCATGTCCTGAATGAGTTGAAAACATTTCTCTTTCTTATGCATTTTGACTGGAGCCAGAAGTCACACAAGGCCAGACCAGTGAATAAGGTGGATAAGGACCCAGCATTATGTTTTTATGTATGAGCTGCCTTACCATTGGATAGTACTTGGCAGTAGCACTTACTGTGCTTTTTAAAATCATACTTCATAAAGACACGAAGGAAAGAGGACTTCAAAAACTGTGTAGAAAATAGCAAGAATGAAAGAATGTGTATGTTCAGAGAAAGAGAGAATATTTTGAGGGGGATACAAAACATGTTCTTTTGCTGTAATAACATTAAAAATATTAAAATCCATCATGCATTTTGTTCACTCTTTGTATCTCGGACACAACTCAAGACAGCTAATCAATAGAAGAGCCCTTGTCCTTGATAGTTTAGAAATAGATTTCAAAGGACACAAACTTCTTCTTTTTTTTTCTTTTCAAAGTTTTATTGATAAAACATATAGCAATGAGACAGTTTCAAATCAAATCGAAAGTACAGTTTCAACAAATAATACACTGCATATATTCTTCTTAGTGGTTAATTGCTGTACAAGATGCAGACTTGTGATCCTACTTACAAACACCATTAGAAAAAATCATTCTATTCATTAAGAGAATGCAACTATATATCTATCCCAACCACTTTGAATACACAGATACAAAATGGACTTTCATAGTTATACCCCAATTTTTTTTAAGTTCCGTTGTTGAATATTATAGGTGTGTAAACTCAGCAAAATATTCTAAAAGAGTACAGAAGCCCATAATAGCATTGGGTCTTCTGTTTAATTGGCAATGTCAGAAATTATTGACCTGAGTCCCCCACAGCTCAACATAACAACATGGCTTTACTTCCTATATTTCATC